TTCTTTGCAGCAAGCAAAGTAAAGAATATCCCTTTTTAAAAGTCAGAAGACCATGCATGTAAAAATGCTTGGAGACAAAGTGCTATATATTCATATAGTATGACCACAGTTATTGAATGAGTGTCCTAGGGTCATTTATATATTGATGGTTTAAAAAAACCTTTTCAAATGAGGTGAAATTGATGTTCTCGCTCATCGATGTTCTCTCTCCCATCTCTCTTTCCCTTTCCCTTCCTCTCTCTCTAAAAATCAATAGAGAAAAAAAAATTCAAATGAGGTGATTAAATCATCTTCTCCAGTACTTATAAGAAAGCTCCTTCTGTTTTTATAGAAATCTACTTTCCATCAAGTTTGGAAACTCAGTCATTCAAAAATATGAGATGTTTCACAAGGAAAGTTTGGTTTGCGTTCACAAATAATGGTAACTCTGAAAAACAATAGGGCAACTGGAAAAAATTGTTATTAAAGTTGTGCATTTTTTTTGAACCAAGATCTATTCAATGCTAGCATATAAATTCTTAATTCTGGATAAGTCTCCAAAGAATAAGATGAATCGTGGCATGAGATGGGGCTTTGTGAGGTAGACTGGAACAAGGTATTAGGGGGAAGGTCTTTTAGGCTATTTTGAGGGATGTGTGCTCTAACCTAAGAACTATGGGATGCCACTAGGGGTTTTAATGAGGACTGATATGATCAAACTCTTTAATACAAGTTTGTCTGCAATGTGACAACTAACAAAGTAAGTGGTAAACATAGGAAACCAGTGAGAAAGCTATTTCCATAGTCCATGTCAAGTAGATTGTAGTGTAGTGTAGATGATAGAGTGGAAATGATTAAAGGAGTGAGATTCAAGGCATATTTAGGAGATAAAACCTACAGGTCTTGGCAAATGACTGGACATGGAGAGTGGGAGAGAGGAGACTCAAGAATGATGCCATAGTATGAATTCACTCATGATGAGCCAAGTGTGCTGCCTAAAAGTTTTCCTGCAGTCCTTACATTCATTGAGTCTCTCTCCAGTTTGAATTCTTTGATGCAGGGTAAGAGAGCCACTACAGCTGAAGGCTTTCCCACACACATTACATTCATAAAGTTTCTCTCCAGCATGAATTCACTGATGCTGAGCAAGGCCTGCATTCCGGCTAAATGTTTTCCTGCATTCCTTACACACATAAAGTTTCTCTCCAGTATGACTTTGCTGGTGTTGTGCCAGTGATGAACTATTGCTAAAGGCCTTCCCACATTCAATGCATTCATAGGGTTTCTCTCCAGTATGAATTCTCTGGTGAAGAGTAAGAGGTGAACTCTGGTTGAAGACTTTCTCACACTCATTACATTTCAAAAGTTTCTTTTCTACATATACTTTCTTATGCTTCATTTCAACACTTTTTTTCAGTAACTTCTCTTTTGTGTCTCATGCTTATGTACTCTTTCTTTGGTGGGAAAACTCTGTTTTATAGCAAATATTGCATCCTGGCGGAAAGTTTGCCAAGATTTCGTATATTCACCCCTTTGATCTTCAGTGAGGATTCCCTTATGCACGACGATCAGTTGACTAGGATGTACCTCCTTACTTCCCAACTTGTTCTTAAACCAGTCTTCACTCAAACTGGGGCAATCAAGGCTGTAATTAAGATGGCTTCTTCCCATTGTTACTACTTTGGAAGATTCTTCATAAATAACTGGCTTTGACGAAGATTCACGGTTTTTAAATGCATACTCCCAATCACAGCACAAGCCTTCTTCACCATCCTGGGCTCTTTTCCTTGCTCCAGCAGTGAGATCAGCTCTGGCTTAGAAACCGAGACTCCCAGTGATACCATGTTCCTGTGGTTCTCCAACATCACCTTCCTGCACAAATTCCTCTGAGCAACATTCAGCTCTTCCCACTCCTCTTGAGAGAAGTCTATAGCCACCTCCCCAAATGTCACTGAATCCTTGGACATGGCTTTACGAATTTAGGGATTTATGACAGCTCTTCGGTCCTCTTCCTCAGGCTCCCCTCTGGTGGAAGGGCAGTGTCGGGAGAAAACAGAGCGCCCCTCGCTGCGGGTGGGCCGCTCCCTCCGCGCGGAGGGCCGAGGCCGGGGCCCAGCATCCCCGTGTCCTGCCGGGGGCTGGATCTCGGGGCCCACCATGGCACTCACAAAGGGGGCCACAGCGTTCCTGTGGAAGCGGAGATGGCCGCAGTGGCCGCTGGGAAATGAAGTCCACCACCGGACTTGGCGCAGAGCATCCTGGGACAGCTCGCCGGGAGCGCCTAGGTGACTGGGCCGGCCCCCCCTCGTCACGGGTTCTCTGCCGCCCCGGAGGCCCGCCCCCCGCCCCCACCCCACAGCCCGCTCAGGCCGTCAGTCACGCGGCCTCCCCACAGAGTCCCGCCCAGGCCAGCTCGGACTGCCAACGTCGTGCATTTTTAAAAAGCAATGATACAAATTTGAAATATTCATTCCTCTACACTGTCTATTCTGCAGAACAAACGTATGCAGACAGCCAGATCATTTATGTGAACCAAGTTAAACTGTTAAACAAAATACAGTTTACATAGCCAACACCACAAGGTAAGAACACCAAAACGTTCATCGTTACCTGGAAAACTGTGGAGAAGCCCACCACGTATATCTTTGAAAAATGTTTTCAGTGTTTGGAAATGTGTAATGTAAAAGATAGTCGTTGGACAGTTGAAAAATAGCTAGACAGACCTGTGCTCTCATGGTTTATATATATAATCTTAAGCAATCCCGTGCAATTTTAACTTTTAAAATATACAGACTTCACAGAACAGAAGATTTGACAGGGTAAGTCAGATAGGTAAGGAGAGCACTTGTGATGAGTAAAAGACCATCGCAACTACTGTGCAGTTTAAAAGGGTGAATTTTATGAGAAGTGAATTATATCTCAACTAAAGAAAAAAGAATTTAAAAGAAAAGAACATCCCAGGTGGTGCTACCTCCCAAGTGATGCTTCAGTTCTACAGCCAGAGTCTCCTGGTCATCACCCCCTTCACCACAGCCTGCTCTTCTGTTTCCACTCTTCCTCCTTTGCCCACAGTGGCATCATGTAATATTGCCACAGACTGAATTTCTCATGCACCCCACTGGTCCCTGGGCATAGGAAGTTTAACTCAACCTTCTGAATCACCCTCCCATTTACTCTGGGCACTTCCATTCTCCTCTGTCTCCTCATTTTTTTAGGGGGAAATGGAATTTTGATTCCATAAAGCTTTGACTACTGACAAGCTCTCTGAGACAAAAAGAGAGGGGATGATTATTTGTCAGTTGCTAATAACGGTAGGGATTCATTTGGGTTCTAAATATCTGTTATCCTATTGTTTCTCACAAATACTTCCAAGGTCAGGCTTCTTATTCCATATGCTAGATGGAAACACTGAGCCGCTTCCGTTCAGACATCCAGTGTTTATTCACCCAGGATATTGATTTTATGTTCAGAGAGCACAACTTTAAAGCCCGCCTACCGAATAGGACTAATTCAAACCAGGGAAAACTTACTAAAACAACACAAAGCTTATAAAAAGTGGCATTGTTTGCTGCTGCATCTGAACATAATTGCACTTCAAATAGTCCGCTGAAGAACACTTTCCATTCTAAAAGACAGGATGTTTATGGAGATCTGCTCTCCTTATAATATAAAAGAAAGGAGGAAACACACAAAGACTTTTTTTTTTTTGCAACCAAAAATAACACACAAACCATCCACTGGGAACCTCTGCTTATTGCCACTTTGATGCCTCCTTGGTTTGCCAGAGCAAATGTAACAGCTTTCCACTCAGAGTTCCATCTGCCATCCCTTCCTCTTCCCGCCAACAAAACTCAGTGAGGCTAATTTTGGTTGTATCTGACTGGGCCCAGAAGGAAGAACTGCGAAACCTGGAGTTTTGGGTGATCCTAATGCTCAAAATCTGCAAAACTGGTCATCTCTCAACTGTTGCAGCCGTTGACTGCTGTGTGGCTGATGGTATACCAGAAGGACTTGCTTCTGAGCACTGCTCCTGGTCACTATCTCTCGGTATACTATCATGCTTGGAAAAGACCGCCTGGGTTCAAATCCCAGCTCTACCTCTTCCTTGCTGTGTGACCTTGACGAGTACAAGATCTCCCTGTGCCTGTTCCCCTATCTATAAAATGGGGATGGGAACAGCCCCTAACCCCCAGGGCTGTGGAGTGTCCAGTGATCTAATACATGTAAAGCACCAAGACTAGTGCCTGACACCATTTGTGCTATTTAAGTTCCTGTTAAATAAATAATTCAAAAATAAAAATTAATATTGTTCATTAAAAGACTAAGAAATCGCTTTCCTTATAGTATTTTGTTAGCTGATTTGTACACGCTTATTTGAATTGAAATTGGTAAAAATTAATTTGTAAGACCTCAATTGTTTTGCATAAAATCCAACCTGCCAGGAACCCAGAAATTGACAAGGATTTCCTTTTGAGGGAAAATGGGTTTAAAATGGCCTCTCATTATTGATGATATTGCCCCAAATGATTGCTGAGCGGCTCTGCAGCTGTTCAGAAGATACACACATACTGTTGCCCCAGGCAGCTGAGGCAGAAAGTAGAGAAAAATGGCTTTTGCTTTAGATGCCCAGGGTGTGAAGGTCCAGACAGGATCATGAACTGCCCCCAGCTACTTCAAACTCCAACAGAAAAAGACCAGCCGATCTCTGGGCTTTTCAAAAAGCCTCCCCATCTCAGAGAGACAATTTAGCCCATTATTGAATTCATAACCATGTTTCTCTTGGAAAGAACAGTGGGTGGTTTACTTGTGTAAATATTAAGCATTTAGTTGCAATTAGGACTTTTTAAACTTACTTCACCCAACCTGCTCATTTCCAGGGGAAGGTGGTGCTTTGGCATTCCCAGTGACACCTTCTATGTGTCCGAGGACCTCTGGACATTGCTGTGTTCATCTCACGATCCTGCAGGGAATAAATCACCTGGAGTGACGGTGATTTACCTCTGGAAAACGACCAAGCTTACCCAGATAGTTGTTGCTCTTGTGCATCTCGGTGATGTTGATTTTTGTGGCTCCTTGGGGAATCTCAACCACGCGGTGGTAGCCCAGGCTGGTGAGAGCATGCTTAAACACGCCCGACACAACCTGACAGCCCGTGTTATCGCCTCCGCACACCCCGCATTTGTCCACCACTTTGTCGGAGCCTAGGTAGTCGTCGCAGCCGATGCTCTGCAAAGAGGTGGAAAACAGAAGACTCTTGTAGCATCTATCAGGGGCATCCAGGAAAGGAGGGGAGAGGGCTGAAGATCTAGTGGTGGGACTCAAACTGACCCTCCTCCTGCACCATTCAGTTCCTGCAGATGAGCAAGTTCATGCCTCCCTTCACTCAACAGATGTTCACGGAACACCTACCCCTGGCAAGGACCTTCTCTTCTAGATGTGTGTGAAATGTACCTGCTAGGGACCAGTGAGGACACAGACAGTAAACAAGACAAATAAACAAAACAGTGCATTTGGTGGTGGTGAGTGACCAGGGGAAAAATAATGCAGGGAAATGGGATAGGGAGAGTGTGCGATACGAACACTTGTCACACAGGTTGGACAGTGAGGTTGTCCCGCAAATCCACCCCCCTGCTGGACTCTGAGAGAGGACTGTGCTGGGACTTTTATATAAACAAGTTCTTTGGGACCATGATAAGTGCCACACCTAACACTGGGGTTTGTCCCCCCAAGTCTTCTGTTCTAAATGACTTGATACAAACACTTAGCAAAGTACCCCCCAAAAGTCGTATTCTCAGACCCAGTTTCTTAGGAAATTGAATCACATCTGTTGAGATCCGGGCCCCAGTGGTCTTTGTGGCTCCGAGGACCCGAGCAGCAGGGCTTCTGGTTGGCTCCCCTAAGCACTTGCTCAGGGCAGGAGGGTGCCAGGAAGCAGGGACCAGAAACATCAGTGACTTGGATGATACTGGTTTAAGTAAGGGGAGTCCAAAGCTAGGACAGGCAGTCTCATCAGTGTTTACAGGAACTCTGACTTTCCTGCATTTCCTCCCTGAAAAATCTCCCATTTCTCATTTCGAGATTTTTTTGCTTTATCTTCCCCCTCCCCATTCGTGTTTCTGTTGGGGCAATTTTATTTTGAATACAAAAGTTAAACCTTGGATCAGAGTAGAACGATTTTCATGCAACACTTTTCCAGTCCTGGAGCTGATGCCACAGAGCTCACAACTGTGCTCCTGAACCCAGAATAGGGCACGTGTCTGAACAGAGTTCTGTCACATCTCCTTGGGCAGATGGAGTGGGGGGTTGTCATCTGGACAATAAATACTGGATGACAGAATCATTTCCCTGAGGTATGGGAACAGGGAATGAAATCAGAATGGAATTCTAAAACTTGAGACACATGTTTTGCTGAAGACAACCTTGTGTTGGTTTTTGAATTCTAACCATTAGACCTTATCTCAGGGGCAAAGTGGTCAACAAACCATTCAAAGTCCTCTCCTGATCTTGTTAAACAATGCTGGGTCTGTGAATGTTGGTCAAATCGTCTAGGCAGAGTCAAGTCGGAAGGTGTTCGTTCTTTCCCCTCAAGTCCACATGTGATTGACATCTTTCTGCAGGCACTACAGGTCTGCATTATTACTTCCACATTCTTGAGTGCACATTAGTCCATCAACAATAACTGGTCTCTCTTCACAAATAGCTTCTCTGCAACGCATTATTTCTGACAATAACAGAACACCATCTCAATATGTTCGCCCACATCCAATTAGCCTTTCAAAACGCCAAGTCTGCTCCAATATTTTTTGCCTCATGCATATTTTAGAGGGAAAAAAATATTTTCCACACATGGTTTCCACCTCCCCAACTCCTCAGTTCTCCTTTGCTTTGAAACAAACAAACAAACAAAAAATACCACTAAACAACAGAGATTTTGGAAAGCAGATCCAAAGTTGCCAAAGTAAGATCCTAACAGAATTAAGGAGATGCCTCTGACTGTCACTGATGGGGAAGAGGGACAGAAGAGCTGGTCTGTGCTCCCTCCCTCCCTGTCTAGCAACACCTCACCCTTCCACTTTCCCCACCTAGGGTCCATCCTGCTACCCCCGGGACTTACTGTCCCATACCGAGCTCATTCTCCCGGGCACCCCAGGTAAAGAGAACATGTGCATGAAGGCACAGATGTAAGAATGACTACTCAGGAAGTAAGAAGTAGGGGAGCATGTTTATAGACTGACATGCTGAAGTGGAGGGTTGCTGGGAGGGATGAAATGAGGCTGCACATTCAGATGAATTTGTCAAGACTCTTGTTTGCTAGGGTGAAGGATTAGAATTTTGCTTGATGGGATCCACAGTCACATGAGGTGTTAAGAAGGGGAGGGCAATGCTCAGATTCATTTTTCAGATGATAATTTGGGCTGTAGGGTGGGTGCATCCTCAAATGGGGAGAACAGGCAGTCTAGCGAGTCTCTCTGTAAACAGAGGGTAGGGTTATTTGAAAATGAAGGAGAGCTGCTGAGGGCGGGACAGACATTGCCCCAACCCTCAGCCCCCACCCGATCATAACGGGAGGATCACGAGCAAATCCCACGGCCATGGATTGCTTAGACAACCACAGACACAGACAGAGTGTCATTTTATATTGTGAATCAGACACTCTATTAAAATGCTCTGCACAGTGTGACGGATGCCTACCCTCCTGCCAGACTTCCTGCTCTCACAGTCACTCTGGATGAATCTTGACACTGAGGGAGGGTGGCAGTTCTGCTGAGCAGATGCCCAACAGCCTAGAATTTGGCTTCAGCAAAGTGTATGGCCCTACAAACGATGTCAAGAACTAAAGGGGTGGCATCCTGTCTCCTTAGGGCCCGGCTCTGGACTCTGAATGTACAGGGTATACTCCTCAAGAGACAAATGAGAATAAGGAGGGTGTGAACCTTTATTGGGGATGACAAGAGCTGCCAGAGCACCCTTCCAGTGTTACCCGGGGTCTCTGAGGGACTGGGCTGCCATGGAGTTGCCAAATGCCCCACAGGCACTTCACAAAGCAGGAGGGACAATCCCACAAGAACTGGCAGACACATGAATTCAAGATCTTTATTTTTAGGCAATTACATACCTGACAACTAACTGTCCCTTCTCCAGCATGGGGCTCATGTGAGGGTCAGATGATAGAATGACAGAAAATCTACACTCAGTGTACAGGTATGGCATAGCTAAAAAAGTGACCTATAGGTCAGGACCTAAGTGACAGAAAGGACCAGCCATAGGAGGATGCAAACATGCATTTTTATCACTGATGTTGTTGAGTGACTACGCCAGGCAGCTGGGCCAGGAGATCCAGGCTGTGTCAGACTCAGGTTCTGCCTTCAGGAATTTGAGTCTCACTGGGGTGATGGGACATATGTATGGATTTCTTAGGCAAGAGGAATGCTGCATTCTCTGTGTCATGCTAGGCCAGGATCGACTCTCTTTCAGAAAGAAGTTCATTAACAAGGGGGTAGATACACGAAGTCTAGTGCATGTTGCAACATCCCAGCCTGAACTAGGCGAATGTGATAGAGTGAAGAGGACTTGAGAGACACTCAAGCAAAATGGCCAGGCCTCTGTGACTGACTGGTTGGAGAAGAAGGAGTGTGAATCCTTTTCAGCATCGTCATATTTACACTTACAGTCCTCTGAGCATATATTTTTTTCATTTACTCTTAAAAGCAATCTGATATTTCTAAACATTGTAGAAAAGTAAGACTTAGCAAAAAGTTATGTAATTGGCCCAAGGCTGTGCTGCTAATATGAGCTGGAGCTGGAATTTGAATCCCATCCTTTTAACCATTATTCAAAAATCCTCCCCTTTGCCCGCCCAGCCTCAAGGATCAGAGGCCAAGCTGCGAGTTCTAGCTTTGTTGAAGGAGTGAATGGTCATGGCGAGCTCGGTGCAGAGGAAGTTCAGAGCTGTTATCATAGTCTCAGTGCGAGCTTGGTCCACAAGAGACTCGGGCCTTGTCCTCTTCCAATATCACAGCCACCAGCACATATGTATCTCTCCCACTTGGGCTGTTCTAACCCTATACACCACACACAATAAGTGATTAAATGTTTTTGGCTCATCTTTCTATTACATAATTTTTTGTTACAACTTTTTATTTTGAAATAGTTTATGACTCACAAAAATAATACAAAGTTTCAGGGCTCCTCCACCCAGCCACCCCAGTGGTCATATCTCACATCGTCAAAGACACGCCTACATACCATCACCATCACCATCAGTCAGACACATTAACTCAGGAGTAAACCTTACTTTGATTTTACCACTTTTTCTTGGTGTGTGTAGTTCTATAAAATGTTATCACATGTCTAGATTCCTTTGCTGTTACTTTACAGCAGCTGGTATTCCCAGAACGTGGCCATGTGATTGGCCAGCGGAGCTGACACCAGTTAGCAGAGAAAGCAGTTGGCGTGACGGAAAGGACATTGGGCTGGGACGCAGGAAGCCTGGGGCACAGCCCTGGCTTGGTCCCTGACAGGCTGTGTGATGCCCGTGGGTCGCTTCTCTGCGAGGTTGGCGCTGAAAACATTTCTAGCTTATCCAGATCTTTGAGGGCACAGTGCCCAGAAATGAATCTGGCCTGAATTCTGGGTTGTATCTGAGGAGGCTGGTCAATTGGTTTTCGATGGGGGTGACTTAACAGTGCTGGCCTATGTCTCCAGACTCTCTCAGAGGCACCACCAAAGTGCCATCAGTGGGCGCTCAAGGTGCACTAGCGCCTGAGGGACCTGGGTCATGGGCTGGCTCTGCCACTTGGCGGTGCTGTACTTCTGGACACACTTACTAGGCATTCTGAGCCTCAGTGTCTTCATCTGAGTCTGGAGATGGTGCAGTATCTACCTCAGAGCACTGCTGGGAGGGTCAGATGAGGTTAACATGGAAGACCCTTAGCAGAATGCTAGCAATAGGGTGGTTTCTCAGAAAACACTGTTTTTGTTTTTGTCATTGTCTTCATATATATTAGTTTCATCTGAAATCTATCTGCTTTAAGTAAATCCCATGATCATGTAACCATTTGTACCATATTACTGTAACGCTTTCTATTATCTTCTTAGTCACAGATAATCTCTTCTTCTTCTTCTTTTTTTTTTTTTAATACTCACCCGAGGACATTTTTCCATTTTTGTTCAGATAGAGTGGGAGGGAGAGAGAGAGAGAAACAGCGACGTGAAAGGGACACATC